GAGCAGCAGCTGAGACTGCCTGCCTCCAGCCCTAAGGAGACAACCTCACTTCAGCAGGAGCGAGCGTCCCTCAGTGCGGCCTCAGCCTCATAAGGGCTTGCCCTGCATGGCAGTTTTTATGTTAAGAAAGTGGCCCAAAGAATGGTGATTTGCACTCTGAGTACTCAGGTTACAGGGATGTGCTTTTAGGAAAGCATTGTGGAAGTTAGTTCCTTTTTTCCTCTATTTGTTTGCTGGCCAAATGTGCCTAAAACAGACCGCTGTGTCTGGGGAAGGGAATGATGGTGTGTGACCTGCTCCCTCTCCTCAGGAACTGTACCAGCTGTCTAAAGAGAAGGCAGACTTCACCGTAGTGGCTGGAGATGAGGGGAGCTCCACTACAGGAGGCAGCAGTGGCGAGAACGAGGGCACCTCGGGGTCTGCTGTTTCCCACAAGGCACCCAAAACCTCCCCCAAACCTTCTGCCAGTGCCAAAAAGGCTGAAAGGAAGCCGAGTGACCCCAGCAGCAAAGGCAGTAAGGATAAAGGGCAGGACAGAGGGGGAGAGGGTGGTGTGAGCAGATCCTAGAGGCCAGGCAGCACCTCATGTTCCAGCTCTGAGCTCATGTGCTGATGTGTGTACTACAGTGCACTGACTGTATTCCTGCTGTGTGTGCAGCCATGGGCTAGAAGCTCTTCTGCTGGGCATCTGGGATGTTTGTAGCAAACCTGAATGATAGTACCCTGGGAGCACCGCTCTGACTGGGGAGCTAAAGGACTTAGCTGATAACTTCTTGCCCCTCTCTCCCACCTGACCTCAGGAACCATTATCATCATTACCCTCATTTCTGTCCCGCAGGCAGCAAGCTGAGTGCAAAGCCACCTGTGAAACCGGGAGAGAAGCTAGGCATGAAGTCTTCCCCAGTGAAAGTAGGGGAGAAGAGGAAAGCTGCTGACAACAGCCCATGCCCAGCCAAGGTGAAGGTAAGAATGGCAGCACTCTTGGGGGTCAGGGTCCCCAGCCCTCTGCCCAAGAACCTTGGAAGACAAGCAGAAGGGCTGGAGGGACACCAGCTAAAAGCTCCCCCTCGTGGTGCTGCTCCACCTGTGCCTTCTTGTTGCCTTGCAGAAGCGGGCAGCCGGCCAGCAGAGAGGAAGGAGAGCCATGCCAGCAGGCAGGAGATAGAGCCAGGCCAGCCCAGAGAGGCTGCAGGCACCCAGCGGCCCGCCCCAAGTCACCGCTTCCATTAAAGGGGAGAAAGCCAGTCTGGGTGTGGGTGCAGCAGTGTGAGTTTGTGGTCAGGGCAGTAGGAAGCCAGCCAGCAAGCAGAGGCAGCACTGGCTAGGTGACTCCTTTCGGGTGAACAGCCCTTTTCCTTATTTTTCCCCCACAGTGAGGAAGTACTGAGAATTGCACCCAAGGCTTTTCTTTGCACCTGGACCTCAGGCCGTTTTAGTTTGTATTTTGAGACCTTTTTATATTTTTACGTCACCAAGTTGCCCTTGGTACCCAAGTTGCCCTACGTCTCACACTTGAGATCTTTCTGCCTCAGCCTACCAGGGTCTGGGATTACACACATGTGCCACCATGCCAGTCTAGCCTTTGCATTTTAGTAGTCCTCTTGCTTTTGATCTGGCAGTATATATTGTGCACTTGCAGAGGCCTGGAACTAGGTTAGTACTGACACACCCTGCCCCAAAGGGTAGATGAATTAAACATATGATTACTGTAGGACTGTGCTTCTGCCCCAAGAGTAAGCACAGAGATCTGACAGCTCAGGGCCTGGCCCAGTTCCCAGCAGACTGGTGCAACCTCTCCCATCTCTTACCCTGCCAGTGAGCAAGACTCCTGACACCTCAGCCAGGCTGGCTGTGCAGCCAACTGTCGGATCTCCAAGGGGCTGTCACTGAGCTGGGGCACTAAGTCAGAACCCCTGGATGACTTTGGGCGACTTGTCTGTTTCTCGCCCTCAGGCAGAATGGGAGGAGTATCAGTTCTGTCTGTAGAGACGAGTGTGGCAGTATTGATGGGTGTGCCTTTTATCTAGTAAGCTTGCTCTGTTTGTGTCCTGAGCTCGCTTCTTTCGTCTCTGGCTCCTGTTCTGCCCTTATGCTGCCTGTATGCATCTGGGTGAAGACCTACCTGTGCCCAGTGCAGGACTAGTCCATCCTGACCCCTCTACATTTGCAGGTGCTGCTGGACGTCTTTACTGGGGTGCGGCTCTACTTGCCGCCCTCCATACCAGACTTCAGCCGTCTCAGACGCTATTTTGTGGCATTCGACGGGGACCTGGTGCAGGAATTTGACTTGGCTTCAGCCACCCATGTGCTTGGTGACAGGGACAAGAACCCCAAGGCCCAGCTGGTCTCCCCAGAGTGGATTTGGGCCTGTATCCGTAAACGGAGGCTGGTAGCTCCTTGCTAAGACTGCAGTCCTCTCTGCCATAAGCTGTACTCTGCCCTGCCAGCCATCACAGGCCTCAGGCTGGGGCAGGCAGGTGGAGAGCAGAGAAGGGCATGGGCCTTCTTCCCTGAAGCATTGGATCCTCCAAGCCCACCAACTCTTCATGGTATCTCCTGGACTAGGAGTGGCTGCTGTGGGCACCACAAGTGAAGTCAGTTTCTCTTCCTGGTTTAAATAGATCTTTCAAATCTGGGTGCAGGCTTTGTCATCCTTATTGTTTTCTTTAAAAACCTTAGTTATTTTTTTATATAAATAAAGTATCTTGCAGTAATATGGCCCCCACTCACTCACCTTCTGAGTGAAGACTGGGCCATGCAAGTCCTGATAGCATCTTCTCTCCTTGCCTGTCCCTTTTTATAGCTGTATTTCTGAAGACTGCTCTCCAAATTGGCCAAATCAGTATTCAAAGAGAACAAAATGAACTTTGGTGACTTCCCTCTCTATGGTTTGTGTTCTGGGGGAGGTCCTAGCTCAGGAGGAGGGGTAGGATCAGGTAGGAAGTGAGGGAGGCCTTTGTGTGGAGGAAGGTGCTTACTCAGGCTGCTGGGGATGCAGGCGGGTGATTTAGCAGCTCCAAGATCATCAGGCTGCCTCCTTGAGGCCTCGAAACTAGACTGCTCTTTAAATACAAATCCACACCTGAAGACAAGTGTACACACAAAAACCGGCTCTGTGGCTGATTTATTTGAAGAATATAGACAAGTGCTTTCGTGGCTGTTTTATGGCAGTGGAAATCTGTACTCTTTAGCTGAAGAAAAGTCACAGATGGCTGTTAAGCGCTTGAAATGTAGCTAGCCCAAGTGAAGAAGAACTGAAGTTTTCTTTTTAATCCAGTTCCAAATGGTCACAAGTCAGAGCAACACCTTTGTTGTGCATACCCAGACCCTGCCTAGATAAGAGGCTCTGGTCTCTAACTTAAAAACCTACAACTCCATGTCCAAATGTCACAGCTTACACCGTGCTGCATGCAGATTCATTAGAGTGTGATGTGGTTGCTTTCTGTGTGATTCTTCAGGGTCAATTCTGTCTTCCCTATATCAACAAGTTTGAAGGCTTGTTGGCCTATGTCCTGTTAAAGAATAATATGACAACCTCTAAATCACTGAGCCTACAGGATAGCGGACCATATTCCCTGCCCCTGGCATTGGACTGACACAACATTCTGCCAGGCGGCTACCTGCCAGTTTGGAGGCCAACTTGAAATAGAATGCCCTTAGCTCCCACCTACTGGGTACAGTGTGGGGTGGGAGGTTTGAAGGTGCTGTCTTCAGTATTAGACATTTGGTGTTTCTGATTATGTAGCATTCAGTCTGGGTGGAGTACTGGCACTAAGATTTGTTAATCCGGCCTTTGTGAACATAAAAGCTGTGCTTCATTTGAGCACTGGCTTATATAGCCTTTCATCCCTCATCAGGCAAGCAGCTGGGCACAGGTAAGACTCAAGGCTCTTCCTTCACTGCTTGCTGAAGTTCAGGGCACACCCTCCCAGCAGAGGGGCACTGCCAGATACAGGTCTTCATCTCAGTTACAGTTTCTGTCTGTGGCTCTTTACCTTCCTCCATGTTAACTCTAACTCAGGAGTTTGCGTTTCCTTTCAGGCTTCCTGGCACAATTTTTACTGTAGAGGTTAGACAGTGTATATATGGTTTTGTACTTGGATATTTCTACCTGACCCTAAGCAACATTATGGTAAACCTTCATAGAATGCTGGAGGCACTTTCTTTGTTGTTGGGGGCGGGGGTGCTGCTGCTGCTGGACATTAAATTTATCCTTGTGCATGACAGGCAAGCACTGCACCAGTGAGCTATCCTCTAGTCAGCCTCTGTCCTCAAACTTTTGAGACAGTCTTGTTATGTTTCCATGGTGGCTTTGATCTAAGCCTCCAGGTTGGCTGCCTCCCCTCTTCACACGTGGCTGGCTGACAGCAGAGCCGGGAGATCAAAGCACTATGGCCCAATCTCAGACCTTTAAACCCTCGGCAGGATTTCTTTCTGTTTCTTCCTCAGTCACGGGACCAACCTGCATGTCATCCCGTTTTCTCAGGCGTGTGCTCTCCCCTCTCCTGGGACACTCAGACAAAGACAGGCCTGTGCATACACAACACAGGCTTAGGAGACTGGACCATCCTTTTCTGAGCTACGCTTCACCGATACGCAAAAGCTATCACATTTCTCCCAGGGTAACCCTGAAGATTAAATGGCCTATGCTAGTGGTCCTCAGATTCTTCTCTATCTAGATAGTGAAGAGTCACTTCTACTAGGTGGATGTAAATATCTGAACTTAACTGGTGCTTCTTCTTGGCCACTTTGGGACACAGATCCTTTTCCTACCAGCTCTCTTCAAGACTGTTCTCACATACTACTGGTTGATTTTGGGTGAGTTACAACACTGAGCAGACATATCTTCACCAAGGCTACATGCCCCAGCATGTCCAAAAATAATGGAATCGCAAAAACACATCTTATATGCACACAACTTGGGATTTGCCTATGGTTTATCAGTTCTTTTGTCAGCAAATCAGACCTCTGGTATCATCCTCAGACCAGATCGACAGGCATCTATGTTGAAACTTTATTACAAAATTATAAAGCAGAGCTCTGTAACAAAAAATACATATTTGGGTTTGCTTTAACACCCAAGTAAGTCTGAGAGAATCTTAATATAAGCCACTTGAAATAACACATTGACATCCAGGAGATTTCAACAAACTGGTACAATATATATTAAGCACTAACTGCTATACAGCTTATTAGTTTGAATCCAACTATTCCAATACATGAACTGGTCAGCTGTGCAAGTCTTTTAAAACAAGTCTCAACTGAAATCTCAAAGCAATCTCAGCAAAAGCCACAGTATAATTGAAATTATTAAATGTTTCCATGATAATTAAGACCAGTGGTCCATGAGGGACAAAGAGGTAAGACTCAATTTTAAAAATCAGGATTTTTACTTGGGGTAGATATTAACTGGAATGGAATCTTGAAACTGCCAACTTTTATTTGGTGTATAATAAAGGTAACAAAAAAATTGGTGGTTTGACATTTTTTCTCCAAATGCAAACCTTCAGCAAAAGATAAGATTTAAAGCCAAGTTCTTTCAAAACAAGAAAATGACATAAATTCCAATTCTTGCTGAATTTACGACCAGCTACCAGTATATTTTCAGTTCCTGTCTAGGAGGAAATTGCGGAGGTAGGGAGGTAAAACTTCAGCAGAGAAAGCAAGTTGTAAGGACGGGGAAAGCTGGCCTAACTTTTGCCTTGAACTTATTGCTAAATCTTAAGTTGCATATATGCAGACCTGTTTTTATAACAGAACTGAGGAGCTGACCCAGTGAGCCTTTGCTAAACTAACAGGCGTTAAAAACTACAGTACTTATTGTCCATCAGAAGGATGAAAGGCAGACTTCACTGGAAAATGTCCGATTCCCCAATTCCTATAAAGGCACCCAGAATGAGATCGTCTGGACTTGTACTATGATGAGGTAAGTGGCCCAGTGTTCCACTGACTACTACTTTATGAAATCAATTCCTCCTAAAGCTGTTTAGTGGTTGATGGAGGGAAAGTGTAGTATGTACTAATGTATAGGCCCTGCTAGAGGTTTCCATCTGCTTTCCAGTCAATTGGTTCTTCTAGTCTAGACCTCAGCTACACAACAAATGGGGGGGGGGGCGGGGAAGGGGCAGTTGCATAGTTTCTCCATTGGCAATAGACACAGCTCTTTTGAGAGCATGTGTTTTGTGCTTTGCTGCGCTTCTCTATCAAACCTAAACCCTAAGAAGGCTCAAAAAGCATCACTACTCATTAGCTCGTCCTTTGTAAATGACCAAATGAGCTTTCTGCCTTGCCCCCAAATCAACAGACTGAGAAAAATGAAAGTACAGCTATCTGCCCATAGGCAGAATTCAGCCTTATTCAGGATTTTTCAGTACCTCTTAGCTCCTCTGCCTTACACCTCTGTACTCCAAGAACTTCATGAAAAATTCAAGAGTAACACTCTTTGCTTGCTTGCCTCTTTGCCTTTGATGAGACCAAGATTTAAAAATCTTGCTGGAGTATGTATAACAGCTCTGCCTGTTACACACAAAAAAGTTGAGAAGCCAAAGTTAAACAGAAGGCCACTGCCTCTATTCTATGATTCCCCCTCACAATGTAAAGTTAGGGATGGTACAAAGTCAAGTCTCAGAGAGAGAGCAGCAGAGATGACCCATGTACATTCTTTGTATACAGATTCTGGAACTCAGCAATTTAGGAACCAGATGCTTTGTTGGCTCCCAGTCTCAAGAGCCTGATAGCTTCCAGTCCCAACACCTAAGGAAGCAACTCAAAACAACAATACTTTAGCATTTGTGTTTCACTTATCACCAGAGAAAAGTTCACTGCTCCAAAGTCTGTCCTAAGGACCATAGTTGGTCTGATAAACTGAAATATTTTTGGTCCAAAGAAATGTGGATTTTAGGCAATACAGCAAAAAACTTTAAGTTAAAGCACAGAAAGCCAGAGAAACCAGAAATTTAAATCCAGATACGCACAGGAGGAAGGAACTGTCTCTAGTAGGATTTCTGATGGGTGAAATACAGGCAAGCATTTTCCGGGTATGAGTGGGGTACAGAAGAGTGAAAATGTTTCTAGGTTCACCGAGGAAGGAAGACATGGTCCAAGTTTCGCAGAAAGTCCTCTGTCCATCAATTACCATCATTACTCCCAAGATCACAGAAACAGGCACTCACCTGTGTGATCTGTAGCAGCTCCTATTGGCCTCAGTCACTCTGCCCGCCAAGAGGGCACCCCGCAACAGACAGGCACACCCAGGGATGACATAGCATTTTCGCTTGCCCTGGTCTTGGGAACACTGCACAATTTCTTGTTAGCTCACTGCAAGCTGACCAACCCCGAGCCCAGACGCCCTGGGTTACTTCCTGTAAGGCACTGAAGAAGCCGGTGCAAGCCCTCAGGATCGGAAGACGTGCACAGCTCGAATCACATACTGCCGACAGATGGGACATTCATTCATGCGCTTGCCACACTTGGTACAGGTTACCATGTGTCCACACTCCAGCAGAACACAGTCAATGGGCGAATCCATGCAGATCTTACACAGGTTCTCCTCCAGGCTGGATGGCACTGCTCCCCCTGTTCAAACGTGGCAGAAAAGAGAGGCACGGGGGCATGAGATCGTCTCAGTGTATAGGGCAGGGCTCTGGTGCAGGTTGGGAGAGAATGGGTACACTGAACAAATCTCCAAACCACACACTTTCCTCAAACAAAGCTCCTTCAAGAAAACTTCTGTAACCTACTCCAGGTGTTTACTGGATTCACACCTCCTCCCAAAGGGCTACAGACTTGAAGAATACACTATTTGGGTATCAAATACATCCCAAAACATGAGAAAAGAAAGTCCTCAATGCTTAAATAAGTTTCCAACAACTGAAGCTGTGTATCAGTGAATGAGTAGTGGTTAGGGACTCCTTATCCCCTGAGGCAGACATGCAAAAAAGATAAAACTGGTTTAGCAAAGTTTAGATATAAACAGAAATAGAATGAATGGTTCATTAAGAATCAGGAGGCTTAGCTATAAAAACACTGCAATTTAATGAAACTATAAATCATGGAGGCCCCTGTACCATCCCACACAATACCCCTGGGCTTCCTCTGAGGAGACTGACAGAGAAGCTCGCCAGAGTTTACTGCTCCCTCTTCTGTGTGACTCCCATAGAATTCTGCTCCTATCCCACCTCACTGCATATCACATTGGATTGTAATTTTAGTTTGCCTGTTTCTGTCTCCCTGTAGACTTAAGACAGCTCCTTAATTCAACATACTCAATTTCTTTAATCATATGCTTAAGTTTGCTATGTCTCTGAGGGCAGATACTCATCTCTGAATCCGCAATATGGGTCACATGGCAGGTATTCTGATGTTTAATAATAACACTGCCCAAGGGAATAGTAAGAATTCACATTTACTGCATGGGTACCATGTGCCAGGCAGGTCCTAAGACCTCTGCATGTATTAACCCCTGAATCCTCAATCAAACTGTGGAATATTCCTATTACTCTCATTTTATAGGGGGGCAACTGGTGTCAAAGAGCTAACTGGCTTGCCCAAGAGTACATAGCTGGTAAGCAGAAGCCAAGTCCCAAACCCAGGTGGTGAGCACCACAGCTCATGAGGTGGAGCCTATCAAGACAGTACTAACTGCCCAGAGTACAGAGTAAGTGCTGTCTGGCTTGTGTCAGTGGTAGGATACAGTGGGCAGACCATTATCAAATAAAAATCTTCATGATCAAAAGCCTGGCTATCTCTAATAAAGTCTTAAATTTCAGGCTGAATTTGGCAGCCATAAACAGAGACCTGGCTCATATATAGGTCACTTCTACCACCTGGGACTTAGCTATTCCACAGGGAATTTTCCCATTATCTGTTGCTTGTGAACATTTTTCCCCTCTTCTGAACCATTCAAAAAGTCAAGAAACACATTCCCTGCCAAGTGTGTGACACACACCTACACTCAAGAGGTTGAAGCAGGTGGATCTCAGAGTTCAAAGTCAGCCTAGGCTATATATATAGTGAGTTCAAAGCTACTCTGAACTACATAGCGAGACCCTGTTTCAAACAAACAAGCAAACAAATACTTCCCCTAGTTGGTGGGCAGGCTGTGAAAGAATGACGAGAGTGAAACCTATTTGTCTTCTTTGAGGGGTTGTTACAGAAGGTATCTAAGGTAAACTCAAAGATCTTTAGGATTTCAGCTATTCACTGCTCTCAGGAGTAACTTTAGGATCTCAGCTATTCGCTGTTCTCAGGAGTATCAACTCAACTGCCTCAGTTCTCCCAGGTAATGAGAAATAGGCAGCAAGGTATCAAGTGGATTAGCCTGAGCTTGGCATCACGTGAGGAGTAGGTCTAGACTTCCAAATGCTTCCAATGAACTCTGAAAAGCTCAACTCTCTGCCCTAAGCACCAAATTTGGGTTTATCCTTTTTTTTTTTTTTTTTTTTTTTTTAAGTTTTAAAATGCTTTGTAGGTCCCACCACTATTCGGAGTATTTTTTCTCTTGGGAAGTAATCCAAGGGCCGAGGATTTAGCTCAGTGGCCTAAGCGCCTGTCTGGCAAGTGCTATGTCATGAATTCGATCCCTGGTACCAAAAAAAAAAGAAAGAAATCCAACCATGTTCCTTGAGGCTTCAAAATGATAAATGCTTTAGAACATGCCCTAGTTGTCAGGAGTTTTGAAGTATGTCTGGGATACCACAGTAGTGGTTTCCACATACAAATGGGTACATGGTAGCTAAGGTGGGATTGGGATTATGTACCTCCTGCTCAGGCAGCACCTGAGTGACACCTTCCTGTTGTCTTCACAGCAGCTCCAATAACTCCCCAGCACCATAAAAAGCTGTGCTATCAGATCCCCACCCTTGCTTTACAGTTGGTACCAGAAGCTGACAGCATCTCAAGTGAGTTCTCTAAAGTGCAGAGTCTCTTCCTTCCTGGCCAGACCAGCATGAAACACCAGGGATAAGGAAAATGACACAAACGGCTCTTGCACTCAATCTGCATTTAGGCTGCTGCGACTCTGCTTTCTTCATAGAGGACAGAGGGTTTGGAGAGTTTCTAAAGATGCTGAGAACTTGGTTCAGAGCAAGCATCATTAGCTGTTACTGGAATCAGTGGTAAAGGCAGAGAAAGAACTGTTGAAAGCCTAAGGCTGTTCCCAGACAGAAACCACTACTTACCGTTTTGGTCTTCAGCACCATACACTGGAAAGGAAAGAGAAAGACGGCTAATAGGTATCGCGTAATGGCACACGATGTCTCCTACCACCCTGGCATCATTTCTGAACCAACCCCCGCAACTCCCTGGCTTGCCAGAAGTCTCGGTGGACTCTTGCCCTGCTTATTCTACAGATGGAGAACTCACACAGGGCTCCTGCTGCTGTGTGAAAAAGGGTATTCCAAGGATCTGCATGAACAGACCTGCCAACCACAAGGACAGTGTTCAACACAATATCCTTTCCTACTGCCCTTGAAGCCAGCATTAAAGTCAAGAGTGTAAAGAATGTGGCTGTTTCAGTGGGGTGGGGATTCTGGACAAAGTTCCCCTGTGCAGTCAGTGTTCTACTTCCATGGGAGACGCTTGAAACGTTCCCAAAGGGAAGACCGAGTTCCATGTCACAAGCTCAGTCTGTGACCAGGTGAGTAGCTGGATTCTGATGAATCTGAGCTTTTCAAATTTATTAGAGGGGAACTCGAAACCTTTGTCACCCACTGTTACCATGAAAAAAATTGAAATATTTGCCAAGAACTAAAGCAGTTGGCATGGAAGGAAGGTGGGCGCTCTGTGGTAAAGTAGTTTTAGGAAATGCCAAGTTCAAGCAGCCAAACACATTTCTCTTCTGTAGGACTTCTCTGTAGTTGATACAAAATATATACCAAGAATCAGTAATAATACACAGAATAAAGTACTTGTTCCCAAACTCACTTAACTACAAACTCAGGTTCTGGAGGGGAGAGGTCCATATCTCTTGAAAATGATAGCATGTAAAATGGAAAGGAATGAAAGGGAAAGCCCAAGTGCAGACAGAGCAGATATTCTCCTACCCTGTTCTTTCTAATCTAGAATTAAAGGTTGTTGGAGGTAGGAATCTGAAGCAGGCAACCTATGGTAAGAAAGGCCATGGGCTTAGACCAGAAAATCCTCAGTTCAAATCTGGGCTCCACAATACAAGGGTGGTACTAACCACGGCTTCTGCCCAGGGAACTCTAAGGATTAAATGAACACAATGCCGTACTTAATCATGGATGACAGCTATTATTAGATGGTCTGAATGTGTAAGCTGACCTCCTCTGTCGCTAAATGCACTGGCCCTAAGTCAGGTTGGCAGCATGTTTTGGGGCAAGAGCCAACATCCATACTTCTGTGCAGGTGCCAGTCAAACAGCCCCTCACCTAGATGCTGGAGTCCTTTCTGGTCCTTGTACAGCCTCGTCACCCTCTCCATCAGCTCCCACTTCTCACAGCAGCCCTTGTAGTTGACGAAGTTGCGCGCCAGAATCTCTTTCAGCTGCCGTACTGTTAGGCTTTCGATGTCCTCCAGGTGGGTCAGGTCAGACAGCGAGGCCCTCCGGCCTGGGACGAAGCTGTCCTCTGAGTCAAGGGACTACAATGGCAAAGACGAGATTGAGGGGCTCAGCTGTTACTTCCCTTCCACTGAGCTTTCTCTCTGAAGACCCCAGAGTGCTCGTCACACTTCACTTTGGTAACTGAGCTCAAGAATAGGAACAGACAGAAGAATACCTGAAATGGTGCTGTACATTGGAAAACAAACTACTACCTTTTCCTGACCCACAGCTCTGTGCTCAAGCACAGCTGGGATCATACCAGGAGCACTGGTTCAGCCCTTAATTCAACTCCTGGCCTTTCTACTGACACTGCTAAATAATACCCTGACAAGTTGGTGATCTAAGGCTTTCTGCCACCCAATAAAGGAGAAAAAGAAGTTCTCTCACAGAGGTTTCCCGTTACAATTAAATAAATGTGGGCCAGTCACAGTGGCACATGTCTGTAATCCCAATTCCCCAGGAGCATGAGATAGCAAGATCATAAGGCTAAACCTAGCCTGGGCAATTTAGCAAGACCTTGCCCATTCCCCACCCCTGACAAAAGAAAGAGAGACAGAGATGAGATGGAAGGAAGGAAGGAAGGAAGGAAGGAAGGAAGGAAGGAAGGAAAGAAGGATATAGTTCAGTGGAAGAACTTTGCCTACTATGTGCAAGGGGAAGGATATAGTTCAGTGGAAGAACATTGCCTACTATGTGCAAGGGCCCGAGTTCAATTCCTAGTATGGGGGGGGGCGGTGCATAGCAGCACATGAAACAATCAGCATAAGGCTTGCCTTTCTTCTTCCCCTGTGAGAGTCGTGCTGTCCCTTCTGGCACTCCACCACACATAGCTCTACCACAGCTCCATGCCCTGATGGCTGGGGCTCTCTGCACTGGCCTCTGCCTTGCCAAGGCCTGAACTTCTCATTACCTGACCTCCTTTTCCTAACAATGGCCACTGTGTGCTAAAAGCAGGAGAAAAGAACACGATTCTCATGGCAAAATCCAGAGCCTGCTCGCTGGCAGCACTTAGAAAATCAAAGACAGGGAACACAATGGATCATGAGGCTTGCCAGTCTTCACTGTGACCACGCACCTGCTGACGCACACAGACGGCAGCCAAGTCCCTGAGAACAGAATTTCAGGAGGGCTAGGGCTAGCATCACAAACCAGTTCTCTCCTGTCCACCTGAGTCTGCTCAGAGGCTCCTGAGAATACTAGTGAAAGCAAAGGCCACGGTGCAGACGCGAACAGAAGCCCCACCTGGGTCTCCTCCTCAGCAGGAACTCTGGCGGTGCTCTCCAGGAAGACGGGCTCCTCTTGGTCCTGGGACACACGACCATTGGCCTGTGGGCAAAGAAAGATGCCAGCACATCCATAGACATGGTCCAGAGGTGTGCACAGCCTGCACCTCTTTCCAGCTCAAATGATGTCCAAAATGTATTCCCATTTCCCCAGAAACCTTTTCTCCCACAAAAGTGTCATAAACCCTGGTCTTTAAGACCAACTTTGTCAGGCTGAGAAACAACACAGTGGATTTCAGTGCTGGATCTACAGCTGCTCTCCAAAAGTACCCTAATTCTGCACACCACGAGGATGGTACTGACCGCTACTCACTGTCAGTTTATTCTGTCTGAGCCCTCAGGGTGAAAGGACATTCATGGTATCCACCTCACAGCTACGCTGGTCTCTACCGTTAAGTTCTCTTTCCTGATAGAGTTCCCAGATCCTCTCTAACTTTAACCCCGTCTCTCCTTCTGCCCCTCAGACCAGCAGCCACTGATTCTTCCACTTGGCTCAGGCTAAGCCTTTCTCCTTCACGCTGAATCCTCTGGCCTCGCCAGGTGACCCTGAAGAGACAATTTCTAGACTCTCATCACCCTCATCCTTCGCCCCAGGCTGGTTACTAGTAGAAATGTGCTCCAACCAGCTAAGCACACCATGATTACATCTCAAAGCTCCAATATGCTTTCAGCCATCTGAGCATCTATTGGCCTAACACTGTAGAAGACGCATGTCTCGGTTTGGAAGAATTTCATCTGCTCAGAATTCTAGCTTTCAAAGAACCCTCCTTTGGGTTGTCTTTCAGGGGTTTTTGTTTTGGGGTGCTTTTGTTGTTTTATTATGCAGTTTGGGCAGGGCTTGAACTCACTTTGTAGCCCAGGCTCACCTTGAACTTGTGGCAATTCTCCTGCCTCAGCCTCCTGAGTGCTGGGATTTCAGGCGTCAACTACCACATGCTCAGCTCTTTTAGTAGGTTTTACCAAACAGCAGCCTGAACTGTTTTCTATCACCACTTACACCACAAACCCTAAACTAGATCCTCTTTATCTCTTTCTCTCCCAGGCAAAAGGCAAGGTGTGTGCTCTGCAGCCCCTCAGATCCTCTTGGACAGCCTCACTTTGGTACTATCTTAAGAGTCTTTCAGAGCCTTGCCTGCTCCTGTTCTAAGTGGGTAACTTTTGTCCTTTGTTCCCTAGAAAGAGAAACTGGGGCCTTGTGCTATAAAATATGCTCTTGCTTTTCCAGCTGGCCCACTGGCTAAGTCAAAATCACAACATCTTCATTTACTATGTATATTACACATGCTTCCTACCCTAGCAATCCTGCTAGGGCATTAAAGGTAAAGGATGGAATCCTGATGCAACAAGTGTTACGGGAAGACTCGCACTCTGGGTACAGCTCACTTGTAGACTTGTACGAGTTACTGAACTCCTCTATGTCTGTTTTTCTTGCTTGTAAAAACAAATCTCGCCTGGGCAAGGGAAGTGAGTTGACTCCAAAGTCCTCCAACAATCTCAGAATAGTGTGACTGATGGGTGTCATCTGGGAATTTCTGGTTAATGACCAGAAGCTTACAATTTCAACAGACATGGTGGTGCACACACCTATGACTCCAGCACTCAGGAGGCTGGAGGGTGACCACAAGCTTGAGGCCACGCTGGGCTAATAGTGGCCCTGCCTTTAAAAAAAAAAGAACCACCTTACAATCTTGTATTGAAAAATCCACCTGAAGGTTTCCTTACAGAAAAATAGTTCCTCAAGTTCCTCTTCTGGTTTCCCATTAATAGGAGTGTTGCAAAAACCAAGACAAAGGAGGAATACAGAGCAAGAGGCAAGACCCGCCCAGCAGATCAAGCATCAGAGTTTAGGAAAGGCTTAAGTTCCAGCTGGGGAGAAAAACATGTTCTAGCTAACTAGGGAGCAAAATGATTTTTACTGCAGTTAAATTATGTTCGCACGCTGGCCTTTATGCCTCAGTGCCTGTAAAGAGCTGAATTAGAGGGGCCAGTCCCAGCAAAGAGTGATCATAAACGAGCGGCAGCCATCACGTCAGGCATCGGAACCAACAACATGGGCACTGCGGCCCTGAGCGTACTCAAAGCTCTTGAGACAGTACGCTATTCAAATCTTTCTCTGTTCCAGCAAGACCAAAAGGCCTTGGGATTACTAAACCCATTTTGTTGCAATAGGCTCAAAGCTTACCAAAGGTGACTTAGGAGTTGGTAGATACGGGGTTTCGGGGAGGGGAGGATATGACTCAAGAGTAAAGTATTTGCCCAGCATGCACAAAGCCCTGCCGCCGCCAAAAAACAAAAACAACGACAGTAACAAAAATCAGGAATCTTCTAGGTCAGCGGTGATAAACTGATGGCCCATGTGCCACGCAGGCACACAGAGCCCTCTCTGTCAGCACACAAACCAGACTGCCCCAGCAGCCAAGCAGCATGTAACAGTGGTTTTTTTTTCTAAATTGCAGTGTTAAAAGCGTTTCTGGGTTGCAGTTTGGGCACCCGGTCTCTAAAAGGTTCACCATCACTGTTCTAGGTCCTGATGCCCCACAAACCATGTAAATAGCAAGGTCGCTGAGGCATTTCTAGAGGTCTGTATGACACCATCACTCCTAACACTGAGGTTGACCTCACTTGAGTCCAAGAATTGTCACATGTTTACTTCAGCTCTCCCAGGGGTTTTGTAAGAAAAGACAGTGCATTACTCACTTCTATACCCTCATGCCTGGTTCATGACTTGGTGACCATTTCTGGGTTCCACTGGAATGACAGTAAAGCTGCCTACAGTACAACACTGCAGCCAGCGCCACTCCCACAGTGACCAGAAGAGCAGCAGGGTCCTATCACTGTGTTTTCCACTCTCTCTTCCCTCCCCAGGGTCCTTTGGTGCTATGTGCCTGATGATGGTTACCAAGGAATAGAGTTCCCAATCTGCTGAAGACCAGCCAACGGTGAATTAGAGAGGAACAAAAATAAATTTGGAAAGTTTATGATGAGTTTCCTCAAAATATTTCTGGAACAATGAATTCTTTGAAAATGTCTAACCAGGATATGTATAATTAAAAACAAACACTACAAAAACACGGTTCTATGCATAACACCGCTGAAGAAAGCCAAAGCATGAGCCTAATATCCAGAAAGCACCACTGCCTGCCTTCAGAGGCAGGAAGGCTGCAAGATGTCAAGGCAGCTGGCCCCACACCCGATGCCCATAGTACAGCTGGGAGCAGAACACGAGCTCTCTGCTGGCACAGATGCACAGGGACTGCACACAGCCCTACCTGCTGATTTTCCTGAGCCTGGACTGGGGCAACAGAGGTCGCTTGTGCAGGTGAAGAAGGGAGGCTGGGTGAGGTAGGAGGTATTGTGCCACTGTGAGGCTGAGTCAGGAAGGCCTGTTGCTCGGAGAAATCTGGGGATAAAGTGGGAACATGAGTCCTGGCCTCCTCAGAGATTACAGGCTGCTGACCAAGCACCAAGAACACCAGCTCTTCTTTCTCCCGGCACATTTCGGTCGAGATGTCATGGAGGCTGAGGTAGTCCCTCAGGTCCTTCACTTTCATCTTCATGAGCTCCTCCCGCTGAAAGGCTGTGGCTCTGAACCGTTGGCAGAGAAGACAGAGGCGGGGCCCGTTTCCCTCTTGACTTGAACAGGTCATGCAGAAATGTTTCTTACAATCCAAACAGGTCTGCTGCTTAGAGCAAGAGTAAGAGGAAAGCCAGTCAGCTCAAGAGACCAAGACAGACAGTGAGGCAGGAACTTGGGGTCACTATGCCTGCCACGACCAGCTCTCATCACTCCCTTCACTGTCTTGCAGATCTCCAATTAAAAGCCACTCAGAGAAACATCTTCTGTATGTATCTGTGTGTTCATGTCGCTGTGAATTAACACTACCAGTTTTAGAACCAAAAAATCTCTATTTCTGAGTCTCCTTCCATCATTTCTTGTGATGTCTGACAGATTCTGCTAGCCTGGGGCTTAACTATCTGTAACATGACATCCGCCCAGCTTGGTACTGGACACAGAGAAGCAACTTATCTCTCTAGAGTAACTTCTACATTCTCCTTCTCATTCCAGAGACACCTCCCCCTCCCTTTTTGGGCGTGTGCGAAGCCCTCTCCAATCCCAAGATTCCACAACCACCCACAGGCTCTACCACCAACCCTATCAAACCTTTCTTTTCCTGTTTCGCACAGGCAGAGATGCTCCTTCAAATCAGCCATTAATATGTCATGCTGCCCACCTCCCAAACTCCTCCCGCAGCCAGAATTGATAAAAGTAGCTTCACTTCTTTGTTCTCACTGAGCATTTATATTTCTTTATAACTCTCCCATACCCTCATTAAAGGCCTCTCTAATCTTTGTCTTCTCTCTTATTTTCCCTGTGCTGCCTCAGATTGAGTGCCAAAAGTAATCAATGTCACCTTGGGTATATAACAAGTTTTCACACAGGTAAAAGGGTAGAGATGGTTGATAACAGTACTTACCTCACATTGTTGTTGTAAAGATTAAGAAATAATGCATTTAAGCACAGCTCACATATAAGGAATACTCAGTAGTTGTCAGCAGTTTTAATCATTATTACTAAGAAATACTGGCTAGTGACAAGAGCCAGGATTCAAATCCTAATCTGTCATTCTTTCTGCTTTACTGCTTTATTTCATTCTTTATTGCTGAGAATGAAAGCAAATGTGTGAAGGTTATGGCAGCAGTGGCTATTACTATTAGTATTAATTACATTGAGGGACACACATGCTATCTACAGTAGCTTGTCATTTAATTCTCAAAGCATCATTCAAAGGAGGTATCATCGGCCTTCAGTGAATCAAAAAGCAACTGAGGACGGGGGAGATCAGTTACTGTATTCAAGGACAGACAGTAATGGCAGAGCTGAGACCCACACTTGAGTTCTCAGTCCAGTACCCGTAATCTGCTCCCACCTGACCCTGCTGGCTCACTCAGCCCCACCCCAGTTGCCAGCAGTCCAGAGCCTGGCTTTCCACCTCCAATTCCAAGCCAGTGCCTTCCACAGAGGCTGGTGCCACACCGCCCTCCTCAGCAAGGCCGCTCAGAAAGCTGGGAAGTACATGGGCAGAACATTTCCCTGGTAAATACTGAGATGCTACCAGAGACCCTGGACATCAGACTGCTCTCCTCTGTGAAAGCACAGTGTGCCTCAGGCAGGCACTGAGCACGCCTGACAGACAAGCTGGCACTGCCTGGCAGCAGATACGATACAGTTGCAGGCAGTGCACCAAGGCCTGCTCACCCCACTGGAAGCAAACTCTTGGCCACTCACCCCAAGGCTGCAGGAAGGAGCACAGAGTCATCTGACTGAGCTCTGTCCCAGCTAAGGGCAGGTCACTCTCACAGAAGAGAGGCACTCCCGAGCTAATTCCCCGGGAGAGGCTTTGGTAAGGCATGCTCAGTGATCCTCTAAAGAAACTGGTGACTTAAGAATTAACCTACATGTTTCTGCTCCCTTTTTCTAAATATAGAAAGCTGTTCAAGCTACAGTGCCCAAAAGACCAGGGCACAGGAAACCCTTGTGTGCAGCTGGCATAACAGTCTGCACAGTTAAGACAGTTACAGAGTCATTCACACATAAAGGGAAAAGGACCCCAGGTTTACCATCCAGTTTTGACTATTACGATATAGAAGGCATTGCAAAGGGACACACACAAACTCCTTTATTCTCCATACAGCTACACCACACTATCAACCATGCATAGACTGGCAGAAAAGGACATAGAGTTTCCAATTTCGGTCAAGTTCTAGGATCAATAACCATGCAGGTGGAAAATGAATGTTTTGGAGTAATGGGTTCATTCATATCTCAAATTTTCCTATCTAAAATTATGGGGAGATGAAATGTGTCTAGGTGGCTGACAGTGAAACGAAGAGGCTTCAAAGTCAGAAAGCCGCACTGCTGACACAGAACATTACTTGAGTCAATGCAATTTGACAAGACCTAGCTCGACACAATTAGAAAGCTGCATTGCTCAATTTGCCTGATCCAAACAACTCTTGGTTTGTTCTTCAAACGTGTGTGGCTTGTTGGACGCAAGATCAGGATGCACAAACAGCAACCCAGCTTCTGTTACTCTCTGACCACTAAGGACTCTTAAGTCAGCTAGCATCTAAAACACACCCTGAAGAACAGGATGGTGTTCTGGGCTAAAATCACAGTGTGCAGAGGCAGAAGAGAACAAAGGGAGAGGAAAAAAAAGCCATCAACTAATGTGGACAGAATGAGCAAAGTAAACACGTGTGTATAAATTCTAATGAGTGGTTCAAACTAGCCACGTAACAAGATGGCATAGAGATGAACTGGGGAAGCAATGTGCCTGCAGAAACGCCCAGAGTAGACTCCAATGGAGCTGGCAGCAGTGCCTCAGACAGATGCTGCCCTTCGGGGACCACATTTCGCTTTCTCTGCTGTGGTAACTGCCCCTCCTTTCCCCTCCACTTGCACCCTGTGCCCCAGCACTGCACAGCCCCACCTTCTCACCGTACCAGTCCAAGATCCCCTGGGAGTATCTAACCTGTAATCTTCAAATTGACATGCCAAGTGTTTCTTGGGTGGCTTTAAAGTCCGAGCCCTGGGTTTGAATCTGGGCTCTGCCACTTAATAGTTCTGTGCTCTTCAGGTGCACTTAAGCAGAGGAAAAAGAATGAGTACAATACTTTCATGTCTCTTATGCTATCTGCTAACACTTGCTTACTGTGTTTATCATATCCAAATTGGGATTTGATAGCATCCTAAAACCCACTGTTATGAGGATTAAGTGAAAAAAAAGTACCAAGGCAGGTGTGGTAGCACACATCTGTAATCCCAGCACTTGGAAGGCTGGGGCAAGACGATGCCACAAGTTCAAGGCCGGCCTGAGCTACATGGTGAGTTTAGGACCAGCACAAACTACATAGTAAGAATCTGTATCGAAAATGCAATAAATCAATAAGTCAAAAAGAAAAAAAAAACAGCAAAGTTTAAAAATGCTACATTTTTCAAAAATTTTTTTAAAAATTAAAAATCTAAGGCTTAAAACAGTTTTCTTGAATATAGCAAATGATTTTAAAAGTATAATTTTCTCTCAATATCTCATTATCAACATTTTAACTTTATGTCCTTTGGCTGCAAAACTTTTGTCTGGCGCTGGCCCTGGGAGAGCCCACACCCACACCATCACCCAGCCAATGACTCCATTTCCTGCTTGCTGTTTGAGCAGCACAACCCCCAAAGGACTTCACATGAAATTCACTATGGTAAACAGGTTCCGGCTTTGTCTGTAAGGTCTTGATGATGTACCCAAGGCAGCTTGATATTGTCTTTGATAATTAGAACAGGTTACCCTGCAGTCAGCCTTTTTTCCTTTCTTTCCTTTTTTTTGGTACTGAGGTACTGGGGAATGAACCCAAGGCCTCAGCACTGAGCTGCATTCCCCAGCCCTGCTTTTTTATTTACATTTTTAAATTTAAGACAGGTCTTACTATATTGTCAAGTTGCCAGGCAAGGCTGAACTTGCAGTCCTCCTGCACCAGTCAGATTTTCAATGGTAGTTAATGCAGAAAACAACACGGGTACCCGTTCTGTCTAAGCACTGTGCAGGGCATTCTTCCTAGTTTATCTCTTTTTATTCTCAAACTAGTATACGGCTGCTACTACTACCATCCCCACTTGACTGATGGGAAACTGAATCGCTGAAGAGGTTAAATTATACAACTAGTAGCTGTCAAATCTGAGGTCTGAATTCAGGTCTAATGTTCCAGATCTATGCTAAGATGGTCTGCTTTCATTTGAAAAGTTATTCACAAGACTTTTGTGAAAGGCACAGACCAGAGTGGCCAGTGCTGCCCAGGGAGAGGCCAGGTGGCAGGCATTCGCAGTGTGGCCAGCAGGGTGGCCTAAGGGCTGAGGCTGAGGGCAGAGCTGGCTGAGAGGGCAGACTCACCTTCCGAGATGTGCTTGCGAAGTGTGCCCCACAGGCCTTGCAGCTGGGTTCCAAGCCTGTTGGGGAAGGGAAGGAACTGTACCCAGGATTGGAATAGGCCTGTGCCATGGCTCCCTGGGGTGGTGGGACCTCTTCAGGCTGTCCATCCAGGCAGAACCAGTTGCAGCAGGTTGCCCACATGGTAAAATCTGGTATGGGGAGGAAAGAGGGAAAGGTCAGAATTAAGACACTCAGATCCTGAGATTTCCATCCCCAAGGGCACAGATGAGCAGGGATACTCAATCTACACTCCTCAAGCTAAGAGAAGGACATGTTTTCAGGGGTCATGGATTTCTTGCCACCTCCTATACCACCATATTGCTGTTGCCCCTAGAAGTGAGTATAAACACTTGACCTGCCCAGGAAAAACGGGTTGGCAACTTGGTGTATTACTTTTGTAAGGCTGCTAATTCCTGATTGGGTTTATTCTGAGATCTAACGTCCCATAAATATTTTCTTACCTTAACTTAAAAACCCACTTTATTCAGGAACACGGCGTTGTCCAGAGGGTTCAGACAAAAGTTTATCATACATACACACATAGGCACATTTGCACAAACAATCCCGAACTCAATGACATGTGGGGAACACACTAGTTCCTTTACAGAGACACGGCAAAGCCAAGTGCACGGCATGTACTTGCCATCCTAGCCACTCTGCAGACTGAGGGGGAAGGACTGCTTGAGCCCAGGAATTCAAGACCACACAGCAAGGCCCTCTCTCAGAACAACTGGTTAATTAATTAGGTAAGTACATAGACAACCAAGGTTCAAAAATATCAAATACTGTGTATAGCTAACATAGAAAACTCTAGTAAGTAGAGAGCTGAGATTCTAAAAATACAGTCTTCTAAGTCCAAATCTAAGGTCCTTTTACCTAGACCAGGTTATCGACTTCCCCTCCCACCAGCAACCAGAACTACTCTTAATTTGTACCCCAATCCAAACACACTTCTATGATAGCAGTTATAATAGTTTCCGAATCAGACAATTTCTTTTCTATCCCCGGGTCGTAAGTCTCTCTAGGCCGGGTTACTCCCATCTATACTGTATCCAAGCAATGTACCTGTAGCAGATTCTCAAGGAACATTTGTTTCCTTGCTGAGTAAGTGCCTCTATGGGTTTTCTGAGAAGTTCTGGATTATTTATTCCCATTTTACATATCAAACACAGGTAGCAAGGAGAAGGGAGGCTGATGATTTTTATGATCACAAAACAAAGAGGTTTCAGTCACTCAACTGTCATGACAACCTAAAGGTGGTAAGGGGGTCCACTAAAATGGCAAGAATCGCTGGAATGCACGAGTTTGTTTTCCATAGCAGACTAAGACAGTCAGTGTGGATATTCTTAGTCTGAACTCTCTAGTTACAGAGATAATAAATGAAACACTTGGTGTTGTTTGATAGTCAGTTCACACAAAAGAATGGTGCTTTCTGCTCTAGCTCCTGACTCACTGTTTTAACAAAAGCACTTTCATAGTTCAAAGACAATGGGAAACTGGAAAGAACCAAGAGGCCAGCCGAATCAGTGTTGGCCATTTTACAGAGGAAAAGAATGGAGTCCAGTCAGAGGAAGTGACTTTCTGGGTTCACACGGGTTATAAGCGGAGGCCTCTCAACCTTTCCAACATGGCCTCCAATGCACCTGCTACATAATTCATTCTCTTTTTCAGGCACTTGTTAATAATATCTGTCTCTCCCACTTGCCTGTGATCCCTATGAGAATGTGACAGTCTTGCAGTGGTTAGTATGGCTCAACAAAGACCCCTGAAAAAAAGAATCATATGCAACATTTCCATCATCACTAACCACACACTCAAAGTCCTGCACATCAAAACCATCTTTTCTCTGACTCAGTGCTACTTGTCTGGCTCCTGGTTCCCAGAAGTGAGGGATCTAATCTACCTTGCTTGAAATCAGCAGTTCATATGGAATAAAGAAGTAAAGAGTTCTTCACCACATTTGTGTGTGATAAAGTAAGCAAGAGAATGAGGATGAGAGAGAAAAAAGGAATTTGCAGTTCTTTAAATCTCATATTGATAGGGCTGGGGATTTAGCTCAGCGGCATAAGCGCCTGCCTTGCAAGCAGGCAGTCATGAGTTCGATCCCTGGAACCGATAAAAAGGAAAAAGACAAAAAATCTCATATTGATAAACCTATCTGGGACAGTGATGATGAAAAGAGCTTAGGGGCTGGCTGGTGTCAGTCCCACTCAACTGTTGACAAGCAGTGCGGTGTTACCAACCTCTAACACGTCGTACCTTTTCTGTACTTCATAGGTCTCTTCTGCACATTCTGTAGGATACAAGGCTCTATTAAATATTAATTGTTGCTATCTACATTGTAACTATTCCTTTTCTCTAGCAAGGCAAAGACAAGGTAAACCTAGAGATTCACCACAGTTACCACTCGGTTTTCTGGGTTTGACTCCTGCAACAGGGTCAAGGCTGGGGTGATTTGCTAACTTCTGTTAAAGTCTGCACTCATTCCCACATGCATGGAGACTTACTGAAGCCAATGTCTTACCCTTTCCAGTCCAGGTGAATCGGTTGGGTGCTCATCCCCAGAGTTTACGGTCTAGTAAAAAAACTGGAATTTTAAGGCAATGGTTTCCATCTTTGTAGTCTACCTGACAGACTTCTCAGAGCGCCACCACTTGCCATGGAAGTGGGTGGACGTATAACAGAAAGTAAGTAGTAGGAATTTTAAGGAAAAGACAAATGACATGTGCCATGGCATCAGAAAAACTACAAAATGATGCCAGGTGTGGTGGTACACACTTGTAAATCCCACTATTTGCAAGGCTAAGGTAGGAGGATAGAAAGTTTGAAGCCAGTCTAAGAAACTTAGTAAGACTCTCTCAAAACAAAAAAATAAAAAGGCTGGGTACATAGCTCAGTGGTAGACAACTTACCTAGCAGGTGTGAGGCCTTGAGTTCAATCCTCAGTGCTTCTCCCCGACAAAAGAAGAAACTATAAAATGCTCAGCTGGGTCAGGGGTAGGGGTAGAGGAAGTCTGGGTTATATGAAGGTACACAAGTAAATAAGGAGCCAAGGAAAAACCTTACATTCCATGGTACAGCATCTGGACTTTAGTAATAGGCCATGCTGAGCTATTTTAGCCAGTGAAGTTTCATGATCTTATTTGCATGTTAGAATACACATACTGCAGTAATCACAGAGAAGGACAGATCAAGTGGAGGGCTGAGGCAGGAAATCTGCAATAATAGAAGCCAGATAAGATTAGAGCCTGTGGGCCGAGAGTACAGCTCAGTGGAACAGCACCTGCCTGCAAAGCATGAGGTCATGAGTTTGATTCCCAGTATCCCTCTCCCCCCCAAAAAAAGGTAAGGGTCTAAACAGTGGTGGTGAACCTATAGATTGAGACAGTATACGTACTACAATGGATTGTCCATTATCATCAAAAGCTCTAAAAGGCTCATCATCACTAGTATAAGAAGGGAACAGATAGATCTCTGGCAGAATTAGGATATCTCGATAAACTAGATCAGTGGGAAAGACAGAGATAAAAGGGGCCCAAGACAAATCCAAGGGTCTCAATTATACAAGGAATAACTGGTGGACTAATTGTTGAGATAAAGTCTGCAGGAGGCAGCATGCACATATGTTTGCATTTGTGCAGGAGAGAAGGGCAGGTTAAGATGGTGAGCTGAGTTATACTCGGGGATTATGTTGGTGCAGACAGAGGACCACGCATATAAGTCTGGGCTAAAGATAAAAGGTTTGGGAGCCCTGGGCTTACTAGAAGTACATAAAGCCAGAAGAGGGAAGTCAATTAGTAGAGCAGAGAGCAAAACGATGCTCACAGTAGGAAGAGCTGCAAGAGCGGTTTTTTTGAGGAAACTAGTAGTACTGTTCTCTCCCCTACTACTATCAAGCACCAGCTGATTAGGAGGAACACAGGCTAAGTTGTTAGCAACTGAGGTACAAAAATAACTTAATGCTTGTATTGTTCGATTGACTTTGCAGACATAGAGCCAGTAGTCTGAGCACCTATTGAGAGGATAACAATATCCAATATAGCCTATATGGGGGATTTCCTTCTGCTTTGTCTTTGAAATCCAATATTCAGTTTTGTTTTGCTCCATTTAATTGTTTTGTTTTAGTCCAAAACAATTAGTTTGTTTTGATTGGTTTTACTCTGTTCTGTTCTGCTTGGTTTTATTATGTCTGATGACATAGGTAGCAATTTTGAATACCAAGAGGCATCATGGTTGCCACTGTTAATTTCCCATTATCCTATTTTAAAATCCTATATCATTTTCACTTTTTTATTTTTGAGTGGCTTTATTCTGTTTTATTGTTTGGTTTTATTCTCTTAAAAATAAAATTTAAAAGCAAACAAAAAACGGTACTGTTCAAATGACCCAAAGAACAGACTACAACAAGAATACAAAATGCAGTAGACTTAATTTTAGGAAAGAGTGAAGGTGCTCTTTGCCTGAACAGTTTAATAAAGAGGCTGACAAATATCCTTAAGTTGGAAAGCAGTTAAGAAGGGAGAATTCACAAGACTCCAAGGATATTCTCTGAAGAAACCTGTCTATGAACGAAGAGATAAGGCGGTAGCTGAAGAGGACCAGGACCATGAAGATAAAAGTAGATGTATGTACAGATTGGAGAAAATCCCCAAAGACTAAGACTGTACACAAAGGGAAGCTGGCAGTTTATGAAGGATGTAGGCCCGAAATGATCAAGTAATTGGACTCCTCCTAGGCCAGAGAAAGGTCACCCTTTCACCAGAGTGGAGTGGGGGAGAAAGCGGACAAAACCAAAGACAGTTTAGAGCACTAGCCACAAGGTGAGGAATGAAATGGAAAGTGGGGAAGCGTGGTTAGATTTAGCCACAAGAACTTTTCTTCCATACAAGGAATATGCACGTTGTAAATTTTTCCTAGGAGGTAAGGACTCTGCCACAAAATGGGTAGACCCATTTGGTAAGGCACAATCAGCAGGAAAAACTGGAAGCCTTTATGTATTGCCTTACCAAATTGTTCAAGGAGGCTAGGGATCCACAAAGGCACCACAGCCCCACTCTGCTGTCCCGACATGGGATCTAGGGAAGCTCCTCTGCCGAGAGCCAGGAGAAGCCATCTCCTGCACACTACCTTCATCCCTTCAGCCTCCAGG